TTGCATTCCTCCATTCCATATTCTGTATTTTGCAGTCGGTGCTGGACATCTGCTTCATTAAAAGTCCCAGATTTTGTCTGTGACTATTGGAGGCGAATCACTGTTTTTCCATGTAACTGTGCAGGAAAGTGGTGAGGATAACCTTCCGGGAGAGTGTCTGGAAAACGTAATCACAGGAATCATTGGTGTGCATGACATCTGGCACTCCGAGCAGGCACAGCACACGCGGGCATCATAGCGCATCTACGCGCAAGGCTACAGGCCTCCCACCCTTGGCCACGCAGATGCAAGCACATCCCTTATCTCCCCCCCGTGTGGCCATAGGTGGAAATGAGTGGAGATTTCAGCTGTTGCAGGGGTGAAAGACAGCACGGTAGAGGTCCCTGCAGAAGACACCATGCAGTGCAGCTTTTGCCCATGCAGAGGCACGCACAGAGCGCAGGACGCTCCTCCACCGCCCCAGGTGTCCAATGGCTGCGACCCTGGGCAGAGTGCCGGGCAAAGTCCACATCAGACGTGCCAAGGTGCAGCTCAGCAACAGCCCCACATCTCACTCGCACCAGGCTGCTGAGAAAGAGCTGTGAGGCAGTTGGTGGGATGGCAAGAAAGGAAAAAGCACAGTCAGGGTGGGACTGCTGAGATGGGGATTGTTAGGAGCTCAAGGATTTAGATAGGAATTGCCAATAGAGACTAGTATGAGCTCCTAAAGGAAGAAAGCAAGGAAGCTGGTGGGGGTGACCGGTGTTGCCTGGGCTAGTTGGGCTCTGTCAGGTTGCCAGCTCAAGGCATCAGTACGGGCAGAGCCGGTGGGAAATGGCAGCTCAGTGACAATTAGATCCAGCCTGGGGGCCACTGAGGCTGGCCTCCCCTCCCCACCGGTGCCCAGGAGGCCAGAGAAGGCTCCTCAGATGCCATACCAGGGTGGTGAGCTTAGTCTGAGAACTCCCTGTATCCTACCTTTCCTGCAGGTTAGCCAAAAAATAATTGCTTTAAGCTTCAAAGTTGCGTGTATGCTACTTGCAGAGTCTCTGCACATAGCTAAGGATATCCAGACTGACCTAAAACGGGACCATAACAACCTAGCATGCTCTCCAAATGGTTTATAGGCCCCTTCTTACACCCTTCTTCAGCTGTCCTGGTCACCCCTCTAAGACCAAGGAGGGACTTCTTTTATTCTTGCCCAGGAGCTCTACTTACCCAAACTGTGATTTCACATACTCAGACATGGAAAGCAGAAGCACTTTGCAAGCATTTAATCTTCACTTGACAATTCTGCTATAACTTGTCACACATCTTCTGATTCTTCATCTCTCCATAAATTTATTTACTTATTGTGTCTTTTATTAATGCAGAATGGATGTGCATTAGTAAGGCAACCGGAGTAGAAATAAATTGCTTTTCTATCTAGTTTTGCTTTATAAATCAATAGATCTGTGACAGTAATGTATTTTAAACACACAGAAATGCTAGATATTTCTTTTCATAGACAGATGTCCAAATATTTGCTTGCTATCCTCAGAATACTTGTGTTCTCTAAGCAAAAGATTTTATCACTTTTTTCTTTTCCACTGTACGTAACAGTTTTGCTTTGCCTCTTCACTCATTTCTATTGCCTTTGTTATTTTTCACAGACTTGTACACAGGTCCATATATTTCTTTTCTAGGTTTTAAAATTTCCTGCAACTGCTCGTTACTGGCTCCCTAGACAATTTACTCTACACAGTAATATGATGTGTTCTAGTTCAAATGCAAAGTGTATGCAATAGTCTCTCTATATTCTCTAAAAATATTATGGCCTTAGCCCCACTGGCCAGTGTACCTTATCTTTGAAGCTATGCAGTCCTGGGTGTCTTCAACACTTGCACAGACACTGCTAGAAAGTGGAGGTCCCAGACAGGCACAGGGTAAGAAATAGCGGCTGAAGATTTCGCAGACACAAGAGCACGGAAAGACTCCATGTAAATGTTATTAAGCTGAAAGTTAAGAATAAAAAGAAAAGTGGTTGGCAGAATGCTCCACTGAGAAACAAGAAAATTTCCTGGATGGGTAAAAGCAAGCAGAATATTTATAATCCCTCTTTCATGAGCCCATGATGGGGTGCACCATTCAGAGAACTGCTCAGGCTTTCAGCAAGGCTGCAGATACAGAGGTGGTTAGATAGAACGGAACCACTTCTAGATTCTCGTAAGGCTCCTACCAGTCTCATGCTGAGCATAGCTCACCTGGAATGGAGATATCTTATACATCTCGTTCTCATACATCTAGTTCAGATAGTCCTTTACACGTGGGTCAAGTGGAGGAAAGTTTCCAAGCAAGACTAGAGCACAGTTCAGATTTGTACGCAAACTGAGATACCTTAATCAGTCTACTGTCACATCCCATACTATCACTGCATTGCTACCCTACTCCTGCTCAGGCTATGAAAGAATTATGTGATGTGTTAGGCTGCAACAGAGAGGACAAGACCCATCAACCTTGACAGTCTACTCCAGTCTTTTATTTTTGTCCCATTGTGTGTCCTTCACTCCGGTTTTTACCTCTATGTAGCCATTGTTATTGTGACAAACGTTCTTACTTTCTGCCCCTGCTGGATTAATCTGTTCACCAGCTGTATTTGTGTTTGCAGAATATATGTTGCTATGCATTCATCTTACCACCTCCACACCTCAGAGCTTTGGCAACAATCACTTACATTCTTTAAACAAAAGTGCTGTTAACTATTTGCATCCAAAGTAAGAAAAAGAAATATCAGTATTATGGGTTGTGACTAGACCTTGATCTTGCACCATAAAGTGCAAATCTGTCTGTGCTCTGTAAGTGGAAAATAAGGGACAGCATCACCTGAGAAGACGTATAAGAAAGGACAATCTTTGGCCTGACAGAGTCGTGACTCCCTCTCCATTTGTTCCTCTCTTTGTGGGACTGTAATTATTAGCCACAAATTAATATACGTTCCCAACACAAGCTGGCACAGAATGGGGAAGAGAGTGGGTGTCACAGTAGCAAGATGCTTGTGTATAGGTAAATAACAAGTAACCAAGGTTTAGCAAGTATTCAAGAATATGTGCTGCAGTTCCTGGGTTTTGGAAGATCAATGGCACTTCCATTTGTTGTGAACTAACAACTTCCTGCCTTTGCATCAGCTATCAGAAAGAAGCATGTTTGCGCCAGGCCTTGGCAGGGAGCGCTGGGGTCTGGGCGAGGGGCTTGCTTTCTTCTGGGCTGCATGGCCAGGGTTGGACATCAGGTTTTGTCCTGTCAGTCCCTTAATTGAGACTTGTCTATCAGTTGTGGCAAGTGCATCCAGCAGTGTCAGCCAGCCAGCGTGATCTGCCTATTCCAGTCCTGCCGCCTCCCAATGGAAATGTACAATCGTCTTATAAAGAACTTGCTTCTCTGTTGGCTTTTGCTTCAAGTCTTTGAACAATTTACAGATAGGATTTTTTGTTTCTTTTATTAGCTTTTATTTGCTTCTTTAAATTTATGTTCTACTTCAAAGAGGGCATTGTTACAAAAACCTGCAAGAACAGGCTGTGCTGTTTTCCCCAATCCATAATTTTCCCCTTACAATTCTTCTTCAAATAATACAGCATTCAAGGCATTGAAATTGTACTGTGTAATGGAAATATATCCTGGAGTTGCTTCCAGCTGGTCCAAATGAACCCTAGCATTGAGCAGTCTGTGAGATGGGGACTAGGGGAAAGCGTCTTCCGTGGGAGTCCCCTGATATTGCTGTGTTCTGACAAGTAATTTTCACATTCATGGGAGTTATCACCGCAAAGACCTGAATTTTCTGTGCTGGGTCTGCAGGTCTCAGTAGCAGCAGTCTTCAAAACTTTGATTTTTTTTTTTTGTCTAGTATAGTGTTTCCAAACTGGTAAAGATTCATTATAGAGAATACGCTGTTCACTGATTCCTGGACTACTTCTCACCATATCTGCCCTTCTTCTCCCTTCTGCCTGCTTCGTTCCCTCCAAGTTTTGCTTTTGCTCTTGCATCACTGCTTTCTTACCCAACGGGCATGCAGGGAGGTGCTGCTTACTCACTTCAGCTCCGGACGCACATCCTCTTTTCTTCTCTACACCAAAAGTCCCTACCTCCATGCTCTTTGCCTCTTCAGTCCCTAGTCCCTGCCTAGTAGCACTATATCCACCTATAATGGATATCTTCAGTTCTTTTTTTCTGAACATTTTATTTTCACATCCTAATTAACCACTTTAGAAAAAGCACTGGCAAGACAAGTCAGTAAAGGTTTATACAAATTGGCCGTTCAATTTAGTACGCATTTTTGTCAACAGTCATTTTAACAGTCATTTATGGCTGTCACAGAAAGCGCATAACCAAGGAAGAGTCATCTGCCAACGTGCAATCAGCTCTTTGAGATTTTCCTGCAAGTCTGGCAGTACTGAGAATGTTTCCCGAAGGCTGAGCTCGGGGGGCTCTGCAGTCATTTGAGGATTTCGTTTTATTATTCCATACAGTGAGTCGCTAGCTCTCGTGATTACGGAAAGCAGCTTGGACGGTGATCAAACGGGACATATCCCCCAAACCGGCCTCTCACAAGGCTTTCTTTACCGAAGCTCCCCTCCAACTCGAACTGGGGGGGGAGGCGAGGGCGGGGCTGACTTGTAAGCTTGGAACCGCGGCAGTGAGCCCACGGAGGACGCGGGTCCGCT